GCCGCCGGGGGGCTTACGCCCCCGGGCCCGCGCCCGCCGAAGACACCCTCGAACTCTGTCTGAAGATTGTAGTCTGAGTGAAAATATAAATTATTTAAAACTTTCAACAACGGATCTCTTGGTTCCGGCATCGATGAAGAACGCAGCGAAATGCGATACGTAATGTGAATTGCAAATTCAGTGAATCATCGAGTCTTTGAACGCACATTGCGCCCCCTGGTATTCCGGGGGCATGCCTGTCCGAGCGTCATTGCTGCCCTCAAGCCCGGCTTGTGTGTTGGGCCCCGTCCTCCGATTCCGGGGGACGGGCCCGAAAGGCAGCGGCGGCACCGCGTCCGGTCCTCGAGCGTATGGGGCTTTGTCACCCGCTCTGTAGGCCCGGCCGGCGCTTGCCGATCAACCCAAATTTTTATCCAGGTTGACCTCGGATCAGGTAGGGATACCCGCTGAACTTAAGCATATCAATAAGCGGAGGAAAAGAAACCAACAGGGATTGCCCCAGTAACGGCGAGTGAAGCGGCAAGAGCTCAAATTTGAAAGCTGGCTCCTTCGGGGTCCGCATTGTAATTTGTAGAGGATGCTTCGGGAGCGGTCCCCATCTAAGTGCCCTGGAACGGGACGTCATAGAGGGTGAGAATCCCGTATGGGATGGGGTGTCCGCGCCCGTGTGAAGCTCCTTCGACGAGTCGAGTTGTTTGGGAATGCAGCTCTAAATGGGTGGTAAATTTCATCTAAAGCTAAATATTGGCCGGAGACCGATAGCGCACAAGTAGAGTGATCGAAAGATGAAAAGCACTTTGAAAAGAGAGTTAAAAAGCACGTGAAATTGTTGAAAGGGAAGCGCTTGCGATCAGACTCGCTCGCGGGGGTTCAGCCGGCATTCGTGCCGGTGTATTTCCTCGCGGGCGGGCCAGCGTCGGTTTGGGCGGTCGGTCAAAGGCCCTCGGAAGGTAACGCCCCTAGGGGGCGTCTTATAGCCGAGGGTGCAATGCGACCCGCCTAGACCGAGGAACGCGCTTCGGCTCGGACGCTGGCATAATGGTCGTAAGCGACCCGTCTTGAAACACGGACCAAGGAGTCTAACATCTACGCGAGTGTTCGGTGTCAAACCCGTGCGCGAAGTGAAAGCGAACGGAGGTGGAACCTTTACGGGTGCACCATCGACCGATCCTGAAGTCTTCGGATGGATTTGAGTAAGAGCGTAGCTGTTGGGACCCGAAAGATGGTGAACTATGCCTGAATAGGGCGAAGCCAGAGGAAACTCTGGTGGAGGCTCGTAGCGGTTCTGACGTGCAAATCGATCGTCGAATTTGGGTATAGGGGCGAAAGACTACGAACCATCTGGTAGCTGGTTCCTGCCGAAGTTTCCTCAGGATAGCAGTAACGCGAATTCAGGCTCATGGGAGGTAAAGCGAATGATTAGAGGCCTTGGGGTTGAAACAACCTTCAACCTATTCTCAAACCTTTAAATATGTAAGAAGCCCTTGAAAGGCTTAATTGAACGTGGTCATAGAATGATGCGTTACTAGTGGGCTATTTTAGGTAAGCAGAACTGGTGATGCGGGATGAACCGAACGCGAGGTTAAGGTGCCGGAATACACGCTCATCAGACACCACAAAAGGTGTTAATTCATCTAGACAGCCTGACGGGTGGCACATGGAAGTCGGAATCCGCTAAGGAGTGCGTAACAACTCACGGGCCGAATGAACTAGCCCCTGAAAATGGATGGCGCTTAAGCGTGTTACCCATACCTCGCCGTCAGGGTAAGAAACGATGCCCTGACGAGTAGGCAGGCGTGGGGGTCCGTGACGAAGCCTGGGAGTGATCCCGGGTCGAACGGCCCCTAGTGCAGATCTTGGTGGTAGTAGCAAATACTCAAATGAGAACTTTGAGGACTGAAGTGGGGAAGGTTCCATGTGAACAGCAGTTGGACATGGGTTAGTCGATCTCAAGGCATAGGGAAGTTCCGTTTTAAAGGCAAGCCCTCGTGCGCCGTTTGCCGAAAGGGAAGCCGGTTAACATTCCGGCACCTAGATGTGGATTCTCCACGGCAACGTAACTGAACGCGGAGACGTCGGCGGGGTCCTGGAAGAGTTCTTCTTCTGACAGCCTATCACCCTGAAATCGGTTTGTCCGGAGCTAGGGTTCTATGGCTGGCAGAGCGCCGCACTTTTGCGGCGTCCGGTGCGCCCCCCCCGACGACCCTTGAAAATCCGCGGGAAGCGAATAGTTTTCACGCTAGGTCGTACTCATAACCGCAGCAGGTCTCCAAGGTGAACAGCCTCTAGTTGATAGAACAATGTAGATAAGGGGAAGTCGGCAAAATGGATCCGTAACTTCGGGATAAGGATTGGCTCTAAGGTCGGGCTCGCTGGGCCTTTGGGGGGAACCTCCTGGCTTGTGCAGGGCACTAGCCGGGCGCAACCGGCCGGCGCCCCGCAGCACCGGGTTGGGACGCCCTTGGCAGGCTTCATATGTCCGGCGGGCGATTAACGACCA